GGGTGGACATGTTCTATCCGAAAACTAGTAAGTTTTAAACTGACCCATAGGATGTGATACTAATTACATTGACTGCGAACAAAGTTAGATTTTACACTCTAGGTCAGGAGCGGGCACAAGGGGCAAATAAAAAGTCGCTCCCCTAATAACCCTGTGTGTTCGGACTCAGTCATTTTGGTGAATTATTTAAAGCTGTTATTTTTTATGGTTATGATGCCCGTGTGAGTGTGTTGATATGGGTTTATATGTATGTGTTTGTGTGTATATATACATATATAAATAATATGTGGGTGCTTAATATGCCCCCCCCCCACTAATAGTGGTAAAATCCACATTCCTACTCACAGCCATACTTTACGTGTATGATATATATATCAAAATGTCTCCGTTTTTATAGTTTTACGTGAAATGGTTATCGTTTTAATGACGTTGTATATCTTTACAGTAAGAAAATATTTAGAAAATTAAACTGATCTACGTTACACATTTGTTGTTGTTGTTTATATTCGTTTCTACAATAGAATGACATCTATATTTGTGTGTGTGTGCAGATGACATGCACGGTAAAGCGTTTTAAAGTACTATACACACTTGCAATGCACATTTTTTTAAAGCATTTTATACATACAACATGTAAACTATAACCTGTATATATTCGGTTCAAAGGCAGAAATCGCTCACTAAACAACAAAAAGTGGGTTTGTTTGTTGTTAAGCACAAAGCTACACCTTAGAGTAAATAACAACTATATAGCTACACAATGTGCTATCTGTGCCCTGTCAATCACGGGTATCTAAACCTTGTTTTCAACGTCGTAAGCCTTCAGTCTTGGCGCTGAACCACTGGGAGGCACAAAGAAAATAAATATATTTTTTTTTTATATTTTGACTGTTTAAAACGACCTCATTTCATTTTGGTTTTGTACAAAAAATAAATAAATAGAATTTCGATTTGCATCTTTTTCGTGCCTAATTTCTTGAACATGTTTTAGCGTGTAACTTGGTAGGAAGTTTATAAATATAGTAACAGTAGTATGTTATCTACCTTTGTTACTGTGAATATGGTTTATCATATTTGTCTCCCTAAACTCTTGTGACTCGGGAGCAAGACATTTATTTATTTTTTAGTTTGTGTACAAAAATTACAGGTGTATTTCTTTACATCGACATTTACAACCTTTTAAAAGTATTAAAGTAGGTGGACCCCCAGTGACTCAGCGGAAACTATGAAGGCTTATAACAGATAACTCATTGTGTAGCTTTGTGCTTAACTAATAAACAAACGAAGAAACGTGGACATGAAGCAAAAAATTATTTAATTAGTAACTAAGGTATACTCTATTTTCTCTTGAAAGTTACGATATTGGTTAGGATGTTTTATTATTTTTTATTATACTTTTTAAATAGAAATTGTACCTCGGTGGGTTAGTGTTAGCGGTAAGTTTAAAATCTTGGATTCAATTCCCCGCGGTTGACACATCAGATATGTAATTTTTGGTGATAAGCATGGAATACCATTTTCTCATTGTGCTTACTTATTCTGATTTTTAAACACATTTTTCTGAAGATTAAAGCTTCTTAGGAAATAACAAACTTTTCTGATAAAGCTATCAAAGTGGGGTACTTTTATGTGGGAGTGAATTTGTTCTACCAAACTCCAGGTAAGTACGTGAAATAACTCCTCATTCCATGATTTTGAAAACTTTTATGATAATGTTTGTTGTTGTTTTTTAGCGGAACGCTACACGAGGGCTATCTGCGCTAGCCGTCCCTAATTTAGCAGTGTAAGACTAGAGGGAAGGCAGCTAGTCATCACCATCCACCGCCAACTCTTGGGGCTATTTTTTTTTTACCAACGAATAGTGGAATTGACCATGACTTTATAACGCCCCCAGGGCAAGCATGTTTGGTGGGACGGAAATTCGAGCCCGCGACCCTAAGATTGCGATTGAAGCGCCCTAAACACCTGGCCATGTCCATTGTGGAGAACCAAACCCTATATTTAATAATTATAATAGGTACCAAGTTTATGTGGGTAAAACTCAAACCCTATATTTAATAACCATAATAGGTACCAACCTTATGTGGGTAAAACTCAAACCCTATATTTAATAACCATAATAGGTACCAAGTTTATGTGGGTAAAACTCAAACCCTATATTTAATAACCATAATAGGTACCAACTTTATGTGGGTAATACTCAAACCCTATATTTAATAACCATAATAGGTACCAAGTTTATGTGGGTAAAACTCAAACCCTATATTTAATATTCATAATAGGTACCAAGTTTATGTGGGTAAAACTCAAACCCTATATTTAATAACCATAATAGGTACCAACTTTATGTGGGTAAAACTCAAACCCTATATTTAATATTCATAATAGGTACCAAGTTTATGTGGGTAAAACTCAAACCCTATATTTAATAATCATAATAGGTACCAACTTCCTAAATAATTTGCATATCGGCTGAATAAGAAACTCACCTCTGCTTCTACAAATTTATCAGCCGTTGATAAAATAGGGGGATGTCAACCATTTATTTTGAAATAGTGTACTGTATCAGGGACTGACAGAAACGGAGAGGTTGAATTAAATAAAATAAAAGGAATTCAAATTAAAAATCTTAGTTCCAAATTTTTTATTGTTTAAATACTTCAAAAAGAAAGAAAGAAACAATCCTGCATTTCATATACGGCGATACACTCGACTGATTACATAAATCTCCGCTGCTGTTTCTTGTGGGCGAAAACGAAAATTGCATATACCTCTTTTAGAGGTCATCAGTGGTCGTTTAATCTCGCAATATGGATATTTCTGCTTGTATGGGGTTATACGCTTTAAAAACAAGGTCTTATCACAGAAGAAGATTTAGTAGATGTAAATACACGGATGAATGCATATGAAAGTTGTAACATAATTCAAGCTTGACGATCAAATATATTGAAAGAACGATTATTGAAAATGACAGAAGTGTGAAATAAGCTATTAATTTGTCTACTTGCTGTAAAGCACAAAGCTACATTCGTGCTCTGCCCCCCGCGTGTATCGAAACCCGATTTTTAGCGCTATAAGCCCACTGAGTTACCGCTAAAACACCTGGGGGCAATAAGAAAGAAATGTAACAGTCCTTTATATACATATACATAAACACCTCTCCACAGTTGTTATATGACAGTACTGACTATATAAAGA